ACTGGACCTGCCTGGACTGAGTCTATCAGGTCGATCCCAGTCCTCGGGGGAGGCCTTGATCTGGAGGAGGTGGGAATGGGAGGTGTGCTGGGTGGAAGGGGAGGGGGGCTGAAGGGGAGAGAACAAGGGAATCTGTGGCTATTATGTAGAACCAAATAGTATTTTAAAATAAATAATAAATAATAATACTAATAATGGAATCCAATTTTAATCTATGTGTCAAGTAGCCAGCCAAGATTAGCCATCACATCGAGCCAGAAGAGGAACATATAAACCTCAGGTTATTGCAAAGAACATTTACCCTCCATGAATAGGATTCTATGTCCATAGTGAAATTTCACCTGTAAGAAGGATAATTTAAAAGGATTTATGTCAGAAATGAAATAAGTCAAATAATGAGTGACAATAAACACAAGCCCAAAAGGAAAAGTTGCTAAATTTGACTATTGAAGCTTCTTCTGGAGGCTGCATTGTGGACATGGGGAGAGGCTGTTGGCTGACAGTACCTTTGACCATCCTTCCAGTGTTTTGGTGGAGGAGTTCTTATCAAAAACCCTACCCTTTACTACAGAAGCTAGGTCTTAAATACAAGCCTGAATCATCAACAGCATGCCAAAGCTCATGTTCTAGAGAGATAGAGAAGTCCATTCTGCTTGATGATTTGGGGAAGGCTAGATCCCATTTTGAGAGCCATGGATGTTGAAAGCTTCTAAAGCAGCACCAGGTACATTGTCTATTGTCATTATTCTTGGTGACACAAACTGCAATGGCCACACTTATCATGCTAGTGTCAGTGGTGAGCTCTATAACATGATTTCATTCTGGAGTATGATTTGTTTCCTATTGCTGCTGCCTCCAATGCTGTGGATATTGTTCTATATAAATAAAACACTGATGGCCAGTGACCAGGCAGGAAGTAGGTTGCCAGGCAGGAAGTAGGTGGGACAAGGAGAGAGGAGAATGCTGGGAAGCGGAAGGCTGAGGGGAGAGACACTACAGCCACGGCCAGGACAAGCAGCATGTGAAGACGCTGGTAAGCCACCAGCCACGTGGCAAGGTATAGATTTATAGAAATGGGTTAATTTAAGATAAAAGAACAGTTAACAAGAAGCCTGCTATGGCCATACAGTTTATAAGTGATATAAGCGTCTGAGTGATTATTTTATAAGTGGATTGTGGGACTGCGGGGCTTGGGGAACCTGGAGAGAAGCCCTCCA